GTTACATTATGTAAAACTAATAATTTTCCCAGATTTTAATTAGGTAATTGGGGGAAAAGTAATGTATCTAAAAGTAATCTAAACTTTGAAATACAAATGTTCTAAAGTCTAATCAGTATTCTTAGTATTAATCAGCATTGTTTAAACTAAACTTTGAAATATAAATGCTCTTATGTCTAATCCATATTATGGCTTTCTTCACATGGAACTCTTAGTTGTATATGCCAGGAAAAATACACAATAATACTATTCTCTTGCTAATGTTTATTAAACTTAAACTCATTGCTGAAGACTAGGAACCAACTCACAGCTGAATGCCCAGCAGGTTTTCAGAGGCTATAAATTGCATGAGAGAAGACTGCCCATCTGTTTCTCAAAGAACTGCTGGTGTTTCCACCTGCCATAGAAGTGCCACTTTTGGGTTGGCAGCACAACTCTTTAACCATTGTTGTTGTTGTTGATTGCCATTGAGTTGAGCACGACTCATAGCAACCCTATAAACAAAAGACCTGAAGCCTTTCTAGAACTACTGTCCTTTATCAACGTTCATAGTTTCCAGAGGCATATTGTTTAGGAAGTGGATGCCACTCCTGCTTCCAATTAGCTTTACTGTCTACAGGTTAATTCATGGATCTCTGAGCAACATAAGGTATTTCTCTTCCAGACCAGGAATCAGACTTACAATAACAACAGCAACAACAAAGGCTCACAGAGCTTGTGTCAAGCACCCTTAATATATATAGAAATAGTCATTGTCACAGCAATCCCAAGAGAAAGGCACAATTATTATCCTCATGATGCAGAAGAGGAAACTGAGGTAAAATAGACCATTCAGCTAATCAGCTTGAAGATGGCATTTGAACAGGTTTACCTCTAGTTCTTATGCTGTAAACCATATTTGATTTGCTGGGTTGTTTTGTTTTCTGTTTTCACTGATGATTTCACCAACATTTCCAATTAACAGAAAATGTTAGTAAGTGGGCCTAACGTGTACCATTTTTCCAATGATATTTTATAATTTTAATTCTGATAAAGATTCTGAAACTTTGTCACCAAATGTGTCCTTATTTTATTATGTGCTCTTTTACTTGTTGATTCATCTTTTGATTTCTGAACGTAGATCTGGCTGAAAGCGGGGACCCACACTCACCCAGCATGCTTTCCATGGACTTGCACAGATCTAGCACTTCAGTGATTTATCTTTCCTATTAAACTATGCAGACTCTTAGGAGTTCACTGTATCCTTTGGTAAGGGGAAGTTGGCAGGATTGTGGATGCATCAGCATCATTAAGAACAGTGGTTTTACAGCAATGAACTTTTTCTTTTAAGATAAAAGTGAACTGGGGTGAGGCAGGGAGGAAGATGTGCAATAATGAATGAATGGAAATCCAAGTTCTGTATAAACTTTGATTTTTAAAAAAAAGAACACTAGCTTTAGTAAGTGAGAAGTGGTGTTCAAAGAGCATCAGACACCCTCGTAAGACAAGAATCCTTTTCATATGCAAGTGTTTGGAAAGTAGAAAACAAATCACTTAACAAATTTAGCATTCTGATTTTATGTTGTGTTTTGTTGTGACATGGTATCTTTTTATCAGGCTAGACACTACACATAACCACTTTTAAAATCCAGTATTGAGAAAAATCTGTTGTGAAGGACCTCTCCAAAGTACTAAAAAACAATGATGTCAGTTTAAAGACTAAAGTGCACCCAATCCAAGTCATTGTATTTTCACTTGCTTCCTATGCATCTGAAATTTAGACAATAAAGGATGACAGAAGAATCACCTATACTTTTGAATTGTGGTACTGGAGAAGAGGACTGAGCATCCCAAAGAAACCCAAAAAAGAACAAACAATTCTTTCTGGAAGGAAGTACAACCAAGGTATTTCTTAGAGGCAAAAATGGTGATAGTCTCATATGCTTTGAGTATGTTGTCAGGAAAGGTTGGTTCTTAGAAAAAGGTCATTATTCTGGGAAAGGTAGAGGGTCAGAAAAAGAAAGGAAGATTCTCAACAAAATGGATAGGCAAACTGGATAGATTATGTAGACTGCATTGAAACAGATGAGGGAGAGGACAGTTTAAAAGCGATATATGATAGGGTATTATGGTTATCACAGGAATCCAGAATTAAGGTTGCATAGTGGAGTGCATTTGGGGTGGGGGGATTGTATACCAATGAAGGAGTTTATCTTTTGCTTTTCGAAGAGAGGAGCAAACTGGGGGTGGGGGGAGGGGTAGAGAAAAAAATGCAACAATGAATGAATGGAAATCCAAAATCTCTGTAAATATTCATTAAAATTGATAAATTTTTTTTAAAAAATGGATAGGCATAGTGATTAAAACTGTGGATTTGAACATATCGGAGATTACGAGGATATGCAGCATAGAGCAAGATTCAGGTCTGTTGTTCACAGGGCTACTGTGAGTTGTAGTACTAGACAACTCCTAACAACAACTAGAAGGTGCTAGAGTGTTGACTGCCAAGAGAACAAAACAGATGTGTCTCAGAGAAGGTGCAGATAGAGTGCTCTTTGCAGGCAAAAATGGTGATGAGTCATGTCACATATTTTGGATATATTACTAGGAGAGGTTATTTGTTGGAGAGGGACATCATTCTTGGAAAGGTAGAGCATTGGTGAAAGAAAAGAAGATCCTCAATCAGGTGGATTGACACAGTGGCTGCAGCAATGGGCTTGAGTTTTTCAGAGATTGTGAGGATGGCATGAGATAGAGGGTTCAGGTCTGTTTTCATAGGGTCACTATGAGTTGTACTCAACAGCATCTAACAACATGTACATTATAGATTAAGGGAGCTATTGTGGTCTAGCAGTAAGGAGTTCTGCAGCCAACTCAAAGATAAGTGGTTTGAGTCCAACAGATGCTCCACAGGAGAAAAATGGGCAATCTCCTCCCATGTGATTTACTGCCTTTGAACATTTGCTGGAGGGTCAGTTATCAGTCATTTCTAACTTGATGGCACGTATCAACAACATATAGAGTAAGGGTAGCTCTGATAACACAGTCTGTAACAAGGTAGGTGCTAATACAAATGCTGCATATCTAAGGTAGCTCAAATCCACCAGTCACTCAAAGAAAAGTAGTAGTGGGATTAAGGGCACATAACTAAAAAAATTATAAAGCCCTGTAATGTTTTTAAGCCACCTAAAACTTCTAGATGAGAAGAATGTGGTGGCAAAACTGTCAAAACCAAATAAGGTACAGTCCAAGAAAACTAAATGGGAAGAGGTTAAAAAAAATGAGTGTACAGTAATACTTGATCTTTTCTCTCTCAGCAACTGCTTTCCAACCACAGTGAAGGTATCAGGACATTTGACATCTTCTGTCTCTGAGCAAAGCAAAGCTTAGCTTCTTCAATTGTCCCCAATGTTAAAAATATTCAAATCATTCCAGCTTTAAGAAAACAACAAACAAAAAAAAATGCCTGTTAATGCAATCAATAGCATGAAACAAAAAGTATACAGTCTGTAACAGAAAATTAATTTGCTCTGTAAACTTTAATTTACAATTTTAAAAGTTAAAAACACAAACATTTTGTACTGCCTCAAAATAGATTTACATCTAAACTTGAATCCTGAAAAATAAATATTAAGACACAGAAAAAATGTATAGTTTAAGACACATTGATGGGGAGGCGGTGAGCAGGGGGGAAAAGTGCAACAATGAATGAATGGAAACCCTAAGTCTCTGTAAACTTTCATTAAAATTAATTTAAAAAGTCACATTAATATTTACTGAGCTGATATAAGATGAAATAGCACTGTATATATTAATAAATCTTACTCTAAAGTCCTCTGTTAATATCATCCTGGGGCCACTGAACTTGCTTCTTCACCCAAAATCTTATTTTCAAATACTTTTACTCTTCTACTTCTTGACCTACCTCACAAAGAATGTTTTCTCATTAAAAACATGAAGAGGAAACATAAGAACTTTTTCAAGCATCTCCAGAAAATTTTGTCATACCTCAGGTTTATCTAGACTTAAAATTGAAATTCCTGCTACATGATCACTTTAAATGGCTTTTTCAAATGCAAGAACACATCACTAAAATTTATGTCTAGCAGTTTTATTCATTTTTTTTAAATATAAGCCTGAAAAAGGTTGGAAAAATTGCATTTCCCTCCTGTACTTTCAAAACCCACCAAGTCTGCAGCAATTGTTATAGTTACCACTGTACATGTCTCTAGGTTAACCAACACAGCGTGCTGGCCATAGTGCAGAGAACATCTTCCCCATGATCCCAGGGCTGCACAAGGTGAAATTCTCAACTATCCAAAGCACTGTTAAAGGAAAGCAGAGGTGGCATACAGATGACAGAGATGGAGACAATGGACAATCAGTAACTTGCAGCGTGCACAGGGAAGAGTGAAGATGACCGGGATGAGGAGAGAAGTGAATGAAGTTGTGTTTGAAAGGCAGAAGGTAACTGACTTGATGACGTCTGACGCTGAAGATCTAAAAGGCCTTCACAATCTCATCAGGAATCAAGGTGAACGATGAACATCAACAAAGAAAAGCTCTTCTTCGTTCATGGGGCCTGAACCAGGTAACAACTGCGCTTCCCAGACTTCATCCGTAGCTTGGGCTTCCAGGAGAGGTTCCTAGGTAAAGCTTTTCACCCGCAAAGTGAGCCAAAAGAACGCCTTCCTACTTTACTGTAGGTATTACAGAGCCACTATGAAACAGAGCAGCAGCCTATTATAATATGACAGTGGCAGCTCGGCTCAGAGAAAACGCACAATTTCATCTTTGGGTGGAATCGCGCCAGCTTGGGATAGATAGAAAGGCCAAGGCAGGAGGATTATCCTAGTTTCAGGTCATACTGGGCAGATAGGCGGGAAAATCCGGAATGATGCTGAAGAGAGGGCAAAAGTGCTATTCCTCCTCGGGCTGAGGCCCAGGTTTTACAAACCAACCTGGAAATCTTCTGCCAAGACTTATTACCAAGTCCCGGGTCGCGAACAGCAGGTGCGTACCAAGCCCTCGTCGTCATAGCAACCACTTTTGCCGCAGAGACGCACTAGCGTTCTTCCGGCTGCCACAGTAGACACGACGCACACCATTGGCGCTAGAGTCTGTCCTTCCGATAGCGAGCATACTACTGGCTTTTGGGTTGTGGGTGGAGCCGTTCCAGCAGTAACCATAGTACAGCTGGTTCTGTTGACTTTAGAGACCAGAGAGGCCTGATGGTAACCGTGTGTGTGAAACGATAAGGGCGCCCAGAAAGGCACAATTTAAGTATTGGCAGCTGTGATGATAACGTGTTTTGTCACAGTACATCATAGTTCTCAAATAACCTTTTACTTAGAGTTAGTATCGGTGACTTTGGGTTTATTTCTCTATGAAGACGAAGAATTACGCTGCCAACCCAAAGACAAAACGGTGTAAATCCATCAGTTGCTCCGGATTTACTACCTCTGAAAACCCGCTGGAGCGTCGTCAGCTATGAGTCGGTTCTAACTCGACAACGCATAACTGCAATAACAACAACTTCATTCTAGAAAGATAAAGTAACATAAATTTTGTGAGATCGCTTTTTTTTTAAAGGTTCTGTATCAGGATTTCTGAACTTTAGACCTAGCTCTAGCTACCAGGTTGTTATTGGTGTGTGCCACAGAATAGCCTGCGACTTACAGCGACCCTATCTATGGACCAATGATTGGCAGCACCATGATAGACGGTGATGAGATTGAGATTGTTAACAGCTTCAATTTGCTTGGGTCCTCAATCAACACTCTTGGTGCCAGCAGCTAAGAAAGCAAAAGACAAATTGCATTAGGAAAGTTGCTGTCAAGCTGTCAGGGACCTCGCCAGAGTACTGAAGAGAAATTATGTCAATCTGGAGACTTAAGGTGCGCCTGATCCAGGCCATGATCTTCTCAATTACTTGCTTTGCCTCAGAAAGCTGGACAATAGCTAGAGATGATAGGAGAATTGATGCCTTTGAGCTGTGGTGCTGGAGAAAAGTATTGAATATACATAGACTGCTGGGAGAACAAACAGTTTCGTCCTGGACACGGTGAGACCAGCTGCTCCTCAGAGGCAAGGATTCTGAAACTCTGTCTTACATATTTTGGGCATGTTGCTGCAGTTCTTGGAAAGGGATATCTTGCTTTGGAGGCTAGAGGGACAGCTCAAGAGAGGAAGACCATTGATGAGATAGATTGACTCAGTGACTAGGGTAATGAGGGTAAGTGTTCAGGCAAATAAGTTTGGTTCAGGATAGAAAAGGGTTCAGAGCTGTTCAATGGCATATAACAACAACATGCATGATAGCTCTGAACTCTGCCCTTTCCTGAGCCAATCTCACTATTGACAACCCACCTATCCCCATTATGCCAGTTACTGTGTCAATCTATCTCAATTCAGGGTCTTCTGCGCTGTCCCTCCACCTTTCCAAGCATGATGTCCTTCAAGGACTAGTCCCTCCTGGCCACATGCCCAAAGTATGTGAGATGGAGCTTCAAAATCCTTGCCTCCAAGAAGCAATCTGGTTTTACTCTCTCTAGGACAGACTTATTTGTTCTCTTGGCAGTCCATGGTATGTTCAATACTTCTCTCCAGAACCACAACTCAAAGGCATTGATTTTCTTCTGTTACTCTTAGTCATTGTCCAGCTCTCTGATGCATAGCAAGTAATTGCAAAGACTATGGCTTGGATCAGATGCACCTGACAATAATAAATCAGAACTTCCTTAGTTTATACTTATTTGTAAAAGTGAGGAAACTGGACCTACTAGGATTATCCTCAAGGCTCTATAGAGCCCTTTAGAGCTCTTAAGCATTGGGAGTTCCTTTTAAATAAGTCACACTCCCATCTGTTTTAGGCAAAAAATATATCTAAGTGATAAAATTTAAATCTATTAACATCATCATTCTAGTTACTCATATTGCAAAATTCTGGGTTATTTCACAAAAACTCAGTTTTGCTTATGTTTTGAGAGCCCTTGCTTTGCTGGTGTCCCTAACACATTCTCATATTGCTTGGCCACATTTAAGTGCCTGAAGAACATATTTTCAAAATTTTGTCCATTCTACATCAACCTGAGCCATTTTACCCCTTTCTTCCTAGAATAGCTTCAATCTCTCATTCTATGTCATGGATGGTGTTTCCCAAAATTTGTTTATTTGGCTAAGTCATGATTCTCTATGTTTTTGATAAAATGGTATAACATAGTAGTTAGACAGGATCCCTCATTATCTGAAGAACCAGTTGATTCTAAGAAGAGTTAGGGTGGGATGCAATCCTCTTAATCCAAGAGTCTTCATGGAATGTAGCCTGCAACCTTTTATTTTGCCAGATGAGAGGATAAGGGTAGGGATTTCAGCACCACCAAAAAGAGTCAGGAATGGGGCATATACTTAGACCTGAATCTGTGCTGGGGATTTCTTTGACACAAGAGGTAGCCAAGACATAATATGGTCATTTCCAAGGAACACTGGACTCACAGATGTTGGAAGGTGACAAGGACCTTACACTAAACTGTAAACAAAGACAGCTGGCCTTCTCTTCTCCTAGAGCTGAATTTGGATATCTACTCCATTGCATCTAACAATAACAACAAACTATAAGAGAATATATTTCTGTTTGCTAAAGTCACCCATTTGTAGTATTGTTATAGCGGCTCTGGATAACTATGACAGTAGCTCTAGAGCCCTTTCAAGTATTTCTCCTATCATCTAAAATGTTTATCATCATTACCTATACCCTAAGCTCAATTCATATCATGGTATTTTCAGTCACTTGCTATGCTGCTGAGAGCTGGACAATAAATAAGGATGATGGAAGAATTGATGACTTTGAATTGTGGTGCTGAAGAAAAGTACTGAATATCCATGCACTGTCAAAAGAACAAACAGGTATGTCTTGGAGAAAGTACAGCCAGACTGTTACTTGGAAGCAAAGATGATAAAGCTTCATCTCACATACTTAGAGCATATTACGAGGAGAGGTTATTTCTTGGAGAGGGACATCATGTCTGGAAAGGCAGAGGGATGGTGAAAGAGAGGAAGACTCTTAACCAGGTGTATTAACACAGTGATTGCAACAATAGGCTTGAGAGTGTCAGATATTGTGAGGCTGGCACAGTATAGGATAGGGTTCAGGTCTGTTGTTCATAGGTTCACCACAAATTGTATTTGACTCAACAGCACCTAACAACAGCAATTTCGCTATACCACAGTTCAAGTGCCTCAGGCCATGTCTGCCTTGGTCTCCTAATTTATATCAGAATCCTTTTTTTTTAATTTAAAAAATTATACTGGTTTACTTTTAAAGTTCGTATATATTGTTTTTTCACACCAGATCTTTCCCATTTCCTTAACGCTTCTCTCCCTCTACCCATCAAATTATGCAACCTTATGATTACAACCCTGCTGAGCCTCACCCCTTTGCTTCCATCCTTAGGCCCTCATACACATTTTACCTAGTTATCTATTTCTGCAATAGATAGAGTATTTATACTGTATTTGTCCTTATGAGACTGAGATAGTTAACTTAGAATAATGCCCGCTAGTCCCTTCCAAGTGCTTTACAAAATCATTGCTCCTTCATGCTGGATAGTATTCCATCATGTCAATGTACCATAATTTCTCAATCCATTCAATTGTGGCTGGACATATGGGCTGTTTCCATGTTCTTGTAGTGGTGAATAATGCTGCTATGAACATTGGTGTACAAGTCTCCATTTGTGCCTCAGTTGTCATTTTCTTGGGATATATTCCATATTTGCTCCCGCTGACACACTATTTTTAAGTGCTGTGACTGAAAATTAAGCTAAGGTGTTAAGTGTTATTATGTGCCATTGAGTCGACTCTGACTAACAGTGACCCTCTGAACAATAGCTCTGAACCCTGCCCTATCCTGCGCCATCCTTACCATCTCCAACACACTTGAGCCTATTGTTGCAGTCTCTGTGCATTCAATCCATCTCATTGAGGGTCTTCCTCTCTTTTGCTGACCCTCCACTTTTTGAAGAATAATGTATTTTTTCCAAGCACTGGACCCTCCTAACAACATGCCCAAAGTATGTTAGATGATGTTTCACCATCTTTGCCTCCAAGGAGCACCCTGGTTTTACTTTCTCCAGGACAAATCAGTTTCTCTTAGAAGTCCATGGAATTCTCTTACCTAACATCACAGCTCAAAAGCATCGATTCTTCTTCTGTCATCCTTAGTCACTGTGCAACTTCCAGATGCACAGCAAGTAAATGAAAAGACTATGGCTTGGATCAGTATAACTTAGTCTTTGCTGACATCACTGATCTTGAATACTCTGGGGACTTTCCCAATGCAATATATCTTTTGGTTTCTTGACTGCTTGTATAAAATGTGTTGACTGTGTATAGAATCATTCTAGTTCACTAGGATTATGAGTGGCCATGGAGTATGTGCAAAGGACTTGGCTGCAATGCCTGAAAGGAGGCAAAGAATGCCAAGAACGGATGAAACTGAAAGCAGTCTCAGACTTCCTGAAGCATGTTTCACCTTGAAAGGGATCTGAAAAGTCTCTGTTAAACAAAGACTATTTTCTGCAGTAAGACCTTGTTCATGAGTACAAAGATACTTTCTGGAAAACTGTTCATGCCTGTCTATGCTTTGTTCCATATGTTTAAACATTTACCCACCTTATGAAATAATGCTTTGCTGTATGCTTTGATTTTCTGCTAATAAAAGCAGAGGTTCTGAAGCTGCTTAGTGCAATTAGCCTGTCTGAGCTCTTTGACCCTCTGTAAAATTTACATTTCCAGATGTGCAGGCTGGATTTAGATGAGGTCGTGGTACTAGGGATATTATAGTTAATGTTAGATGGATCTTGGCAGAAAGCAGAGAATACCAGAAGAATGTCTATCTGTGCTTCATTGACTATGCAAAGGCTTTTGACTGTGTGGATC